GTCATTCATGGTCAGGCATATTATACTTCTTGCTATTCTGTTGGACTTGCACTTCCTCAACAGAATCCACGACTACTACAAAACCCATGAAGCATCCGCAGGTTCACTGTCAGTTTTGAAGAGGTCCTACCAGGCTACTGTTTTTCACTGCTTTTACACTGTTCCTTAATGTATTTGATCTACTGGGGAACCATCCACTGTAGAAATTTTATTCCATTTTGGGATCATGTTTCTAGCTCCACTCAGCTTAGGCAGTTTGGTTCCTGCCAAAGTCTTCCACCATGTGAATGTGATTAAGGCAGTAACCTAGACTTTAGTACGCAGCTGTTTAAAATTGGAGGAGACTAGCTTACCAATAAAAGGTTCCCTTACAAAGCAGCTGCTCTGTAGCTCTGCTGAGAAAATGTGGTATGCTGGGGGTAGCAATTCTATGATCCTGATTTTGTTTGTACCTTTCAGCTTCACTGCAATGGTTGAGCTCCTAAGTAAGGAAGGAGATCTGTTTTCTCCCACTGAAGAATTGAGAGGGGAATGTCAATTGTGTTCAGACAAATCGCACCCTGTTGATGCTTGTAAGTAGAAGTTTTAATATCTAGATGGACTTTTCTGGAATAAAATGGGCATTTCAATGCTTAAGCCTTACTGAAAAGCCTGTTGGGATCCAGCTCTGAAGTGTACTAACTGACTTTAAAAAATGAGCTAGCATGTAAGAGTTTACTATTCAATGCTCATTTAGCAGCAGCTCTAGTATAGTCACTGAATATAGTGGTATGTAAAATAGTGGCAGCAGGAATACTCTGTTTCCAGAAAAAAAAAGGTTGAACCAGGCAAATAAAGTACCATTGATAAAATGTTAGGTCTTCAAATATTAAACCTAATTCAAGGTATTCTAAGCTAGATTAACTGGGTACTGTTAGGGGCCACTGGAGTTTGAATTTTTGTAAGAAGTGTTAGGTTTCTGAAATATACTGTACAGTTGAAATAAGCCTATTAATAGCCCTATTTTGAGATGTGGCAGCTGAAAAACTTGTTAGTATTTTTACCATTAAATAATTTTGCTTTTTTTGTTCTGTTTGCAACAATGCAATTAACAGCATGTGCTAGAGAAGCTTTATTTTTATTCTGAATAGATTATTAGTGCAGTACATAATAAGTTGCTTAAATTATGCAATTACAAAAAAAAATTAAATCTTTCCTTGCTTGGTTTTGCATAATAATGAATTCCACAGCATATTGTGTATTCATGTATATCCAAGTAACATTTCTCCATCATCCATAAGGCATGTGCTGCTGTTAGATTAAAAAGAAAACAACTATAATAATGATTTTTAAAACCAGAGCAGCAGACTTTGATTGGGATCTGTCATGAAGAAAGTAAAGGATACTAATGTTTGGTGATTTAAGATTCAATTTGACAGATACGTGTAGGTGGGTATCTGAACTGATAAAGAGGAAAAAGTGTAGTTCTGTAAGTTACTGACTGACAGGGGCAATGCCTCCAAGGACTAAACTAATAAGGGCCTCATTCTGAAATCAAGTGGAAAACTTAAGGTTGTTTCAATGATCTTCTTTGGATTTTTTTCTTTGGTTTGGGTCAAGTAATCACCATGAGTCTGATCACCACAGTGTGGTTTCGTTCAGGGGGTTTTCTTTTCGATTATGCCCTGGAGTGCCAGTGTACTCCATGTGAAAGTAAGTTTTCTTGCACATTTCAGTTAATTTTCTTTTTTTCTGGACCTTACCAGTTGGGAAGAACTTGCACTATGAAAGTAACTTTCTGATTTGACCATTGCTGAGAATCAGGTATTAATATGAATATTGTAAGTAGCTTTAAAAGTGCTTGTAAAAGCACTAAATAGCTAGGTCAAGGACCTTACTACCACATTTACGTGCTTTGTATTGCAACATAGGGTAAACAGAATTAGTGATTCCATTTCTTGATGGTAGTCTAGCATTATCTATCTATTTCTGTTTTTTTACCATCAAAACAATAATGCTGATCTGCATTATCATTTTTCTTTCTGCTTAAGAAGCTCCCATGTTTCTAACAATTTTCATGTCTTTCTGTTGTTTTGATTTCTGCTGTAGTTTTCATAGGTGTTTTTGTGAGAAAGTATTTCAGTTTTTCATACATTAATGGAATACTACACTGATTTTTACAATTAATTTTCACTTTTAATTTTTGGTTAAAAGGTAGACTGTTGTATCATGTTCTTGACTTAGCTTTTGTAATAGAAAATGAAAGCTCTGCCACTAGGGAACCACAGAGCCAGGTTCAATGGAATAAAGCTAAAATGCCTTTTCCTTGGTTTTTAAAGCACACAGCTGCAGACGCTTGCTCTTAATTATGCAGCAGCAGTGACTGAGCTCCATTTATGTTTGTATTTCTGTTTTTGAAAAATGAAGCATTGAGCAGCATACATCTTCCCCAATATATGAAAGGGAGCTAGCTGCTGCTAAAGTGTAACCACAGGTAAGAAGAGAAGGGGGAGCTGGGATGGATAAAGGGAGGCACAGGAACGGAGGACAATCAGTAACATTATATGTTTTCTAATGTTGTTTTGAATTATTTATACTTAGAATAACTGAACAGTAAAATTATAATAAGAGTACATTTTATACTTTTCTGTTTCCAAAATCAGTATAGCATATGCTGAGGAAAATAGCAGACTTTAAAATCTGTATTTTGTAGTTACTTCAATGATTTAGGGCCTTAGTCTCATGTAAATAAAATTAATCTTGTCAGTAATTTCAGTGGGGTTTTCATAGCTCCTGATGTATGATATGAGCAAAAGGAACAATGAATATATTGCATTTTTAGGGTAGAAAGTTTTTTAGAAAGCAAACAGTCAATTTCAGAAAATACAAGTGCCCAGCCAAAAATATATCTGAGGGTTAAAAAGTATTGCAAAGCGCAAACCTTACATATAACATTACATGACACTTGTAAAACTTAAGTTGTTATTTATAACACTGATTTCCTCTAACAGTTGGCTGAAAGTTGTATCTGGTAGTTAATACATTAGAACCTCTTGCAACAAAAAAGAAAGAAAAATGTTGTTTACTCACATTTTCCAGCTTTCTTCTTGTTATGCTTAATGGTACCCACCTGCAGCAGGACACAAAAGACAACACAGATGTTCCTGTGATGAGACTGAAATGAGAACTTGTATCAGCTGCAAAGAAGTCAGTCTTAAGTACATACTATTGTTATTACCTTACCCTTTGGATTTGGATTGCAGCGTGGTTTTGAATATAAGGAATGAATATTATTGAAGGGTTTGGATTATGTGACCCTGAGGTTGGATGCATGGATGTTGTTTCTGCTAATACAATAAGTACATTAGTTGTAAAATGCTGATTTTTTTTTTTTTTTCCATTTCCTTGAACTGCATGTTTTTATAACAACTTTTTCAGAATATATCTTGGCAAAATATTTTTTTTTTCCACAAAGCTCTATGCCAAAGGGTCTTGTCCATAGTGGGCATATGCTATTGACTGCACTGCAGGCAGTCCCCTTGCAGATGATCTGCTGCTCCAAGATGGTCAAAGATTAATTCTGCTACATGCTTTATTGAATGATAGCAAGCTTAATTCATTGCAACCTTATGGTAGCTCTATGGTGTCCTCCTACAATGACTGCCCCTTGGAAAGAAGATTGTTAGGCTACTGCTCTTCTGTCAGTATAGTCCTGGTTTGTGCAGGCTGTCACAAGGCCCATAACCTTTGCCAGTGAATGAGTCACAAAAAAGATAAAGCAGAACCTGATGTTCCTGTCTTTTCATATAGACAGGGACGGTGTGATATTGCTTAAAAAAAACTGTCAGCAGTTGACACCACTTGGAATAAAAGTCCTGTTGTCATTATTAGCAATACTGAGACAGGTCTTTAAGATATTCTTATTGCACACCAAATCTGAATTAAACACTAAACTTTTGAAAATGGACACTTGTGCTCTGAAGCATTCAGTGTAGTGACCCACATTCTGTACTGTTTATTAATTTTCTTACAGATGCAGACTTGCTAACTGTTCAAGAATACTTTGTTTGCTTTCTAGATCAAGTGAAATTATTTGCATACAAAACCATGTTCTTTCTTGTCAGTTTCTCCAGGAACAGATTTTCTCTGCCTATAATTTCAATGGTTTTATAACTATTTTAATAGAGATGTCCTCAAGTAAATATGAGGTTTGAAAAGCAGCTGAAGTTTATATTTTAATCATGGCCTATCCCATTACGTTGGACTCAGAAAAACATATTTGTCCCATATTGAAATTATAGCTGGGGTAGGTATTTTAAGAGTATGTCCCTTTCTTGGGGGAAAAATCCTGCTGTATTTTTATTGTGAATGTCATTCTAGCATTGTTTCAAATATTTGCATCTCTGATCATGACAGCAAACTATCCCAACTGGCTTTGAATAATTTGAATACAGCAATGAAGGGGTTATGTTAGTTTTAAACATAGTTGGTTGAAATCAATTTCATTTGACATAGTTTTAAATGGTAATTCAATAAAAGTGTTTCTTATCAATGCTTAATAGTGGCATGTATAGGTGCATATGTGGGCAGGAGAGGAATAAACAATTACTGTAAAACAACTACTGATCTTAAGTGCTTTTAAAAGCATTGTTGCAGCAATGTGGTTAAGAGGCAGATGAAATTCTGTGTAGGGTAAGGTATGAAGTTATATTGAAGCTAAGGACTGAGGCTGATCAGTTCTAACTTATCAAGAGCAATTAAACTCAAAATGTAAAATTTGAGAAGAGGGGAAAAATAGAAGATTAAAAAAACCCCTAATTTCTTAGAATGAGAAGTTAGTGATGTTTATAGACGTTTCCCTTGCTCTCCTTAATATAAAACTAAATAAATAAAACATCAGGAGTATTTAATGTAGTTTTCTGATGAGAAAAGGCTTTCAGGCTTCACATATTTAACCTCTTTTACTGAATACTATTTTTTTTAAACACAAACAAGTGTCTTAATTATTTGTACACTTCAGCCAGAACATAGATTTAGTTGGGGTTATTTTTCCTGTGTATGCAGGCACATACAGTAATGCATTTTAGATGCATGTTCTTATGCAGCTGGCTTTGAGCTTCTTTGGTCTTTGGTGAACAGGGACAAGGAAGCAATTTTGCCTCTGCAGTTCTATGCAGGCACAGGTGTATTTTTAGGCCATTTGACAATGAGTAACACACTTTCCTTTCAGACGTTTTCTGGGTGGGGACTGGAACCCAGAGGTTTGCAATGAATGGACAGAGGCAAATGCTCAGAGAAATCCATGGGCTTGCAGTACGTGTGCTGCTGCTGCTGCCAATGCTGCCCGCCTGATGCCGGCGAGCTTGCTGCTGCCCCCGGCGGCGGGCTGCCCGGCGCTGGCGGAGCCCCGGCTCCTCGGGAATGCTGGGAATGTTGAGTCAGGGACTGGCAGCCCAGGGAGGCAAGGCTCGCAGCTGGCTGAGAGAGACTCGCTGAGGGGAGACTCGCTGAGGGACGGAAAGACAAGGGACAGGAGCACACAAGCCTCTCCCGGCTGCAGCAGGTCCCCTCTTCCTCCCCTCGCGGGTGTTCGGTTGCTCCGGCTCGCCCTGCTGCCTCCTTCCTCCGAGCAAATGAGGTGTCAGCTAAACGTGATGTTGTAAAATCCATGTGAGGACGAGACACAGAGGCAATGATTTGAAAGGTGAGACGCATAAACAGGAATATGGCTGTAATACATTACTGCAAATATACTGTGATTAAGGAAATTGCTATATATTGCTTTCTACAGCTGTCTGGTAGCTGAAACTAGAAATGAATTTGCAGGACAGGCTTTTTATATTGCTTCAGAAATACAGTGTAATAAATGGGACCAAGTGCACATCTTATTCTGGTAACAGAGTGCCTCTCCCTACAGAATCGTTAACCAGAAACCTCTCTTGCTATTTCTATTAAAAGCAGGCATTAGAGTCTCATTGTTTGTGCCCAGTCTTTTAAAATATTGTTCAAGTTTTCTAGGGTAGAACTGATCAGCTTTAAAAATTTCTAGTTTTATACCTAAATACTGGATCATGTTTGGTGTTTTAAAATCGTGTCGGGAAGAAAGTGGGATATTCCTGTCCTCTTCTAGTGGCTGGTGAAGGGAAACTAATGTATTATTTTGCAGTTATATAATTAATGGATACTTATTGGGGTGCCTCATTTATGATGCTGTGTGATTTATTATTTTTTAAAGATCATCTTAGGTTGGGACTGATGCATATGATAAAATCCACACATATGTCCATCAAGGATTACATATCTGTTTTGCAGAGACTACCAGAGTAGTAATATGATGGAGAAAGAATATATATTTTTTTTTATTAAGTGATTGATTTCTAGGCGGCTACCTGCTAAGCCTTGTGATGGATGGATGGGAATCTACTCCCTTAGCGGCGAATTGATATTTCCCTTTTGATGGACACAGCAACCGACCACTTGCATTGGCAGATCCAAGCTCGTTGCAAATAAGCACGGCCAATAAGTGCAGTCAGGAGGAGGGCAAATCCTACTTGTCAGGGTTAGTTTTCTGGTTGGCTTTTTAAATCAGTGGTTTCACTTAACTATTTGTTTGGTATTTGCTTTCTATTGCCGATTCCCATGCCTCCAGGTGCACGCCCAGGGCTGCCCCTCGTACGCGATCCCTTACGGCAGCTCTTCCGAGAACGAGCAGGCCCTTCCCCAGCTCCCCCCTTCGGAGGGCGGAGAAGGGGGAAGGTCTGTCCTCCCCCTTCCATCAAGTCGCTTCTCCGCTGGTCCTTCATTTTCCTGTGGCGAAGCTGAAGATGTAAAACCTCCTCCGTCTCAAGCCTGCTCCCCCTCTCGCTGCCCTGCTCTGAGGGAAGATGCTGTGGAGAGCAGTTACCGCCCTTTTCCCACCTTGGTAAACCGTACAACTCCACAGCTTGGATTCAGCCTCTTCTCACCCTACGGTCGCTCGTCTCCCAGCCCCACGGGCAGGAGGGGCTTCGGACTGTCCTCCCCATCTCGCTTCTCCTCAGCGAGCAGTTGAGAAAGCCCGACCTGGCCCAGCTCCCTATGCAGGCGCTGTGTCAGAGCGGCGCCTCCTCCCGCCACTTGCGTCCCTCCCGGGACCCCCACAGCAACCCCTCTCCCAGCGGGATTTACTTCAGTTCTCTTGACAGAAGGCTCCCCTCCTCCTCCCCAAGCCCTCACCGCTGTTGCTCGGCTAAAGCCCCTCTCTACCTCGCTGCGGGCAGGCCCTGGCAGAGGGAGGTGGCCGCGCTCGGCTGCCCCTGCCGCTCGCTGCGGGCGGGAGGCAGCGGCCTCGCCCCTCCGCTCCCCTCATCCCTGGCGGGCGGGGCGGGCGCGCCCCATCTCCCGTAGCTGCGGGAGGGCGGAGGCCGGCGCGTGCCTCGCGCGCAGCCCGATGGTCGCGGTCCTGTCCGCCACAGGAGCCCGCGCGGGGGCTGAGGGGCCCGGCTGCTCCTGAGGCGCTTCCCCTCAGCGCCCAGCGGGGCCGGGCAGCCGCCGCGGTGCCGTGCTGCTGGTGTGTGCTCTGCCTGCTCTGTGGAAGAGCGAAGGCTCTCTTAGCCGCTGTCCCCTCACGGTCTCGTCTGCTTGAGCAGTGCATTTCCTGGCTTCTTCCTTTTCCTGAATATGAAGAGGCAAATATCAGTTTCTAGGGTCTGTTCTTTTGCGCTCAGGGGGTGTTTAATGGTAAGTTTCGCCGGTTCCCTTAAGGAATATGTTTCTGTGCGAAAACCTTTAACAGTTTCCTGAAGCAATAAACTTCCACTCCAGGTCTTAGCTTCATGGGTGTGAGAATTAATTCCCACATCTGTGAGTGCTTTAAGAGAAATTTTTCAATTATTGTTATTTTTGTTTGAAGTCTCCGTGTAAAGCAGTTTTCAAAGGCATTGCAGTGAGTTAGCAATTTCATTTGTCCTAGAGGAAACTGGGTGGGGGGAAGTGACTTTCTGTCCTGCAGGTGAACGGAACTTGATTTCTTCTTCCAAAGGATTAATGAGGTAGGGGCAGCCCCTGAGGTTTATGGCTTTACAGCTCGAGTTTAAATTAAATGTCTAAACTACAAGGAAACTGTTTCCTCTTGCAAGTGCATGCAGTGTGGGGTAGACCTTCCACTGTAGAACTGAGAGATTTTGTGTTTGTTGGGTTTTTGTATTGCTAGTTAATTTTGTACTGTGTCTTCAAATTTGAAACTTCATTTCAAATGCAATGGGAAGGAGATAACATTTTGCTGGTGAAGGAGAAATCGCGTGTGTGGACTGGTTTTGAGTTTTGTTCAAAAATGCCATTTGTGTACTTGAGAATAGATAGTAAAATCGCTGACTCCAGGAAACAGTTGGAGTAAATAATTTTGAAGGGTAATGCTGGGATCTGTATTTAGGTGGTTGCTGTATAGGAGAAAGTGTGTTCAGATAGTTTTAGAGGAGACTTGGCTTCCATTATATTTAGCTCCTGTTTTAATCCTGCTCGGCTGGTGAGGTACCTAGGCTGATCCGCTGTCCACCTGAAAAGTGGAAGATGATACTGTCTTTCCTTCCTTGCTCTAGCATTGAGATCATGTGCTTTGGCTTTCTGATTCTGTGGTTTGTTTGTTTTTTTTTTATTCCTATTCCATGAAGGTGGGTTTATGTCTAGGAAGTGTCTTCTGTCTTCAACTAAGATGTTTCCCTTTTTCAGTAGGTGGGATTTGGTTACTGAAATGGTTTTCTTCCTTCCCAAGCATGAAGGAGAAAGTTGGCATGCAGAGGCATCTTTTGTTCTTTCCCATCCTACTGTGCAGAATGGAGCTCCTTGCCTTAGAAATTGTGTGTGTCTGATCTTCCTGAGCACTGACCTCCTTTTACCTTCTGTTAGTGCTTGAATGCCTTATGTGCATTGCACTTAAGACGCGGAGGAGAACCAGCTCCTTTTGTGTACTGTAGATAGTTTTTCAACTCCCCTAACTTACTAGTAGTCCAATTCTGATGAATGGTGATTTTAAGGTACAGTTATACATGCCAATGGCCCCTCTTATTTCTTGCCTGCTCTGAAGACTGTGGAAAGGTGGCAAAGGAAGGAGGGGCCAATGTTCTTATCAGCAAAATATCAGGTGAGCACATGCTGCCATCTTAGCGTGTATATACCTGATATTTAGAGAATTAGCTAGTCAGCATGCATGTTTTTTAGAAGAATGCGCATGTTAATTTTCTTGCTTTAGAAATACGATTCTTGCAGAACTTTGAAGGATGACTAACAGAAAAGAGTGGGTTTTTCACCCCTCAAAGAGGGTGAAGCAACCAGCCTGTGTATCACTTCTAAAGGCAACATATGTTCTCCCACCTGTATCTCTTATGTTGTTTAATGTATTTTTATCCACTATGATGCATTTGTTATCTTCTCAGTTTAATTTAGTTTGCAAAATGCCTGGGATATATGTCGAGATGATTAGTCAGATCCACCTAGGAAATATTACTGTGATACTGATTATATTTTTTTATGTGACTGCTCTTTTACTTGCGAGTTTATATTCAGTTTTAGGATTGCTGTGAAATATTTTTATGATGTTTTAGTTTTTGAGTGACTCATGTACCTAGCAATGGTAAGGTTGCCTCAGCTTACTTATTCTGCAACATTAATACTGCTTGGATAAGGCTCCATTACTGTCACATCATTTTTGTTCACAGAGACCTGGAATTCCTTCACAATATTAGAAATGCAGACTTTGAAATGTGGACAGTTTACATGTTTGGAAAGTTATATATCACTACATTCTTCTTAATTTGTAATAAGAATAATGGAGAAGTGTAGTTCAGAATTTCTGTTCTTTTAGATGGCAGATGGAATATGTCTACATTTGAGGTACATATCAGTTACAAATTGTGATTGTATGTGTGGGAGTCTTTGGTGTTTTGGATGTTTAGCAAAGCCCTAGCCTTACTGAGAGGTTTTATGAGTGGTTTTTTGAAAGGGTTATCAACTTTCTGGACTACCTTGGAAACTCTTGCAGATGGGCATTCACTGGAAATGCTTTCTGACTCATTAACAAGGGGCTTCCTTAATGACTGATGTACTTCTAATTTAGTTAAAGTATTCCACTTTCAACAAATACTGTGTATTTTTTTTTTTAAGCTTCTCCCTCTGTTGTGCTTCTTATCTATCCCTGTAACTGAAGTCACAGTGCAGATATAGAATCCAGTAGCTAAGTTCTACACAAATAGAAAATGGAGAGATTTATTTTAGAGTTTAAACTTTCAAAAAATACTTTAAATTGTGTGGAAAATGCCATGGAATGTTGAAAGGAGTAAAGATATCAAAGATAAATGTTATAAATGGTGTGTTGCAGTTACAGAGGTAACTGTGGAGTTGAGGTAGGAAGTCACTAAAGAAAGCAATGTCTGTAATGACTGCCTTGCTGGAGATGATGCGCAGTTTATTTGGAAGGAAGTGAAAGAAATGTAGCAAAAGTGTCTGCCCTTCCTGAATTCAGTCCAACAGATCACGTGTTGCATGGAGCTTTGGTAACATGTGGGACAGTTTCCCTCCAAGAAAATAGCCCACATTACTTGATCTGAATGCTGACTTTTTGAGTGACACGCAGATTGACTCCACAACTTAGAGTTGTAAAGTAGGTATGCTTTATTCAGCGCTGAGGCACATGGGGGTTTCTCCTCCAAAAACATGTGCGCCCCCCTTTGC